TTTTTTTTTTTTTTGGCAAGAGCTCGATGCGGCTCAATAAGGTCTCGAGCCAAAATGTGGATATCAAAAGCTCGAGCTTCAAGTAACAAAAGTTTGGATATGAGTTAAAATATTCAAAGCTCGACTTCAATTTGAAGTAAAAGAATATTAAAAGTTTGAGTTCAACTTGTTTATTCCTATAGTATTTGGCAAAATATTTATGAAAATTTTTAGGCAAATTGATGTGGTCCACGTTAGTGTACATGGTGGGCAATCTAGAACATTGTGTTGTGTTGGGCACCATAATTGATAGCTCATAAAACTATAGTATCAAAAATGAATCTAAGTCACAAAAAATGCAAATATACTAATTTATAAGTTTTGATGTTTTAGAAAACTTAATAACTAGCTCATTTATATTGTTTTATATTTCATATTCAATCTAATAACTAAAAGATCATTAAAATACTAATCACTCTTCGAATAACTTTGGAACACTTCAAATAAAAAATTATGGATTTAAAATATTCTCTCAGTGTTCTGCTTCTAGCTTATTACTAGTACGTACCCGTTGCGATGCACGGGACAGAGATATTATATGAGTTATTTTCAGTCTTTTCAGTTTAAGTTTAATAGAGTTATTATCTATTTTCTACCTCTTTTAATCAACATTAAGCCAAAAAAAACAATAGAGTTATAAGCTTTTTTCAACATCTTTTAACCAGCATTGTTTTTTTAGCCAGAACATTAAATATGAGCATGTTAGGGCTAAGTTGTAAGATAATTAATATATTATCTCACTAAAATATTTATACTATTAAAAATTTAATTTTAGCATATAAATTTATCCCTTGATATAAGAGAAAGTAACAATTTTACTTATTTTGTTCATCATATAATATTTAATTACTATTTTATTATATAATAAAAAAAGAATATTATTAAATAGTGTAGTAAGATTGTTATAAAATTATATGAATTTTTTTACAATATGGATTTACTATCTTTTTATGATTTGATAATATAACTATAATATATTCTTAATGATATAATGGTTTACTTCGTATGGCTAGAATGCTGGCAAATAGAAAAAAAATATATATATATATATATATATATATATATATATATTAGATGCAGCCAACAATTCTGCTATAAGATAATGTTTTCTCATTATGATGAGGTTTTTTATCCATCATGTTCTTCTACATATCTATTAGATTAAGAATTTAGATGCAACCAACATTCAGCTATAAGATAAAAATTTTCTAAGAGCGGGATGCATGTCACATGTCATCTAAACTTTTTGATTTTTTGTTTTTTTTTTTTAGTTTGTTACTTTTACTTATCACAAATTTAACGGTGTGAATTGATTTACGACATACTCTACGTTCAATTATATAACATACTCTACATTCAATTAGGATTGATTTTTATTTTCTAATGATTTGTAAAGTTTGATTATTAATTTGACCAAATATGTTGTTTATTGATTTATAAAGTTTGATTATTATTTTGACCAAACATGAAATATGAACTTGTTGGATCAATGTTGTTAATCTAAACAAACATAAAAGTTTTTTATATTATTTTTTTTGGATTTATCAGTTTGTAACGTTTTATCAGTGTAGGAAATATTTTCATGATTTTTTATTTATTCCACGATTTGTTGATCATTACAGCTTTGAACAATGTATGAAAATGATTAAGCCGCCTTCTGGCAAATATGTATGAGGTTATGTGTTCGTATATCATAAGTCGCAAACATAATGAATAACAGTATAAATTATTCATTCAAACTTTTATTCATTACAAATATATTTAAATAGTTTATGTAACAACCATTAAATACTAATTTCAATATATTTATAAATAAAATAGTACATAAAATTTCTGTGTTCAAATTTAAATAATTTTTATGGGCTCAATTTTAAATCATCCAGACATTTGGTCAAACACATAGGTGTGTTCAAATTTAAATCAGTTACATTTTGTTCGGTTGAGATTTAATTCATCTATCATGGTACTGTGATGTGTATAATATGTATACATATATATAATTTTTTAACAAATAATATGTGCTTTATAAAAATAATAATAATAATTTCACAAGATTTTAGACGTAAAATCTGGTTTTTAATCACAATAGAAAAATCATGATAAAGTTGTATTGAAAAGGTGTTATGTGATAAAACAATTAAATAAAATACTTGATGGAAATAGAATGCATTAATTACATTTGACTTTTCTTACTACTAATTCTAGTAAATATGATGGCTTTTTTATATAAGTATAGATGTGGAACTAAATCTTTCTTTAGTAGGTTGTTTAATCTCAATTAATTAATGAATTGACTAGGTTATCATTTTATTCTTGTGTAGATCTACTGTTTAGGTCGACTTAATTATTACTCCGATATACTCTATTTCGAAATGTGTATAGTCTCATTATGGTATGTCATACTTTAATAAATAAATAAAAATAGAAATTATGCCATTTGATAGTATAATTATACATTTAAGCTCGATAAAGTATTAATGGACTCATCTAATTTAGGCTTTCACACTTAAAAATTTGAATTCATTCTTGTATTTTTTTTTCGAAACGATAGGAAATTTCATATCATAGGAAAACATAATTATAATCCGAGAGTCTGAGTAGACCCTATAAGTTCAGAAATTACATACATAAGGAGGCCATCAACATGATGCCTATACTCAATAAACCGAAGAACAAATGGAAATAAATAGAGACAGTGGAAACTGAATCCTCTATCAACCAAATACAATCTGTCAAGAATCAAACTGATAGTAAAATTAAGTCGTCACAACACATCAATAGCCAACACAGAGATGAAGAAGGTGCACCACTGAACCCAAGGACCTAGCAACACATCCTCCATCAAGAATCAACCTCTAGCAAGCTGGCAAAACACATATTCCTGCCAATCAGACATGGCAGAAGCAAGAATCACATGGCCTGGCATCCAAACTTGCTGGAATTTCCAAAGATTCCTGGATTTCCATAACAACCAAAGGATGTAGGTGGTTAGTTCAATCCTATCTTCAGATATAGCCTATCTGTCCATAGCACACACATTCCACCACCATTTCTTGAAGTTCACAGAGGTCTCAACAGAATTCCAACTGACAGAGGCAAGTTTCCATACCCTTTGTGCTCTGCTACAATGAAGAAGAACATGTTCAATGCTTTCCAAGGCCTCCCCACAGCAGGAACAGTAAGGATCAATGTCAAGGCCTCTCTGCTTAAGACTAGTCCCCACAGGCAGAGAAAGATTATAACACTTCCAGATAAAGTGCTTTAGTTTGGGCTTAATCTTTAAACCCCAGCTTCTGAGC